AGAGGGAGAGGGAGAGGGAGAGGGAGAGGAGAGAGGGTAAGAGGTAGAGTAACAGGGAGAGAGGAGAGGGAGAGGGAGAGGGAGAGGGAGTAAGAGGGAGAGGAGAGAGTTAGAGGGAGAGGAGAGAGGGAGAGGAGAGAGGGAGAGGAGAGAGGGAGAGGGAGAGTTATAGTGAGAGGGAGAGGGAGAGGGAGAGGGAGAGGAGAGAGAGAGCAGAGGGAGAGGGAGAGGAGAGGAAGAGGAAGAGGGAGAAGAGGGAGAGGGAGAGTAAGAGAGAGAGGGAGAGGGAGAGTAAGAGGGAGAGAAAGAGGGAGAGTGAGAATAGAGAGAGTGGGAGGGAGAGGGAGAGTAAGAGGGAGAGGGAGAGGGAGAGGGAGAGGGAGAGGGAGAGCTCGCCCTCCACGCGGCGCACCATTGGGGGCGCTGCGGACTATTAGGCCTCGTCGCACATCGCGCGCATTCTGGATTGTCTTATTTATCTGAGGTTAAAATATCCATTTGAAAATGCTTGCCAACATCTCGGCGATGGCGACGCCAATTCAGCCATCCTGAGATGCAGCGCCCTCCGGCCAGCATCTCAGGATGTAATGGCTCAATCAGGGATGTCGTGGACATCTTTGGTTGCCTCAGGCATCCCAAGATGCATGAAGCAATTCAGGATGCGCGAAGCAATTCAGGATGCGCGCGCATCCTGAATTGCTTCATGCATCTTGGGATGCTCGAGGCAATCTCAATTAAAATGGAGATCGTATCGGGCAATTTGAGATGCCGGAGCATTTCAAATTGCGGGTTCCCCGCCCCTGACGCACGCGGCGCAGCGCCAGCGGCTCTCCCGCGACCCCGGCCCCTCTCGTAGCCGCAGCCGTAGCCGCAGCCCCAACTCTTGCCGCTCTTCCGTGTCGGGTTGTGACGAGGGGTGAGGGGACACGGATTGAAGATCCCTCACACCAAGATCGTGCAGGGCGGGGACACATGAGACATGTCCCTAAATCCCATCTCGTCTCAGAGTTTGACCGTTTTATTTATTTATTTACACACACCTCTCACGTCTCAGCTCTCACCTGAGTCCTGAGAATGCTGACAATATTCCGATTTCCTCAACTCACGCGTCAGCCGTCACGGTCCACACCCTTTATATGTTGTAGCGCGTCGCGTAAAGCCGTACCTGATGATATGTGTGAGTGCAGTGTGAGTGAGAGGACAACTTCCTGCTATACGTGATAAGCCGCATAACGTGTGTCGGCATTGCGCCCCTGGGCCTGGGGGCTGGGGGACATGCAGCGACCACAGTGCACACAGCGAGAGAGACAGAGAGCTGCGCGGGGCGCTTGGACGCAACCGGTCGCGAGGACTCAGGAGGGGTCGCGCAGCCGGCACGCTAAGGGGAGGGGCAGGTAGTCCCCTGGTAGCTCTTCTCGCAGGAGCGGCGGCTGGCCGCCCCCGGGGTCCCCTGACAGATATAGAACTCGGCCACGTGGGAGGAGCCGCCGGCGCAAGACTCGCACTCTCGCGGAAAGCCGCTGCACGTTTCCTCGTAGGGCAGGTCGGGGTCGTCGCACTTCTTGATCTCGACGTAGTAGTCGGCGCACTCGTCAGCGCTACGCCCCACGTCGGAGCATTTGTCGACCTTCTCCTTGCCGGGCGGAACATCACAAGTAGAGGGGGGCGGCGACGGCGACGGCGAGTCGCCGCGGTCGAAGATGCAACCGATGATGCCAGTCACACGATCGATAACGCCGCCATCGCCGAAGAGCACATTCAGGATGCAAAAATCAATCTCGGGGTGCACCTCGGGGAACAGTGAGGCATCCTTGAGATCAAAGATGCAAGAGATGAGGCCCTTTTCCGGGGGCACGGCGGCATCGACGAGCGTCTTGATGCCGGTGGGAATGACCGGACTCATCTCGCCGGGGCACTCTTGGCGCTCGAAAACGGGAAGATCCAGGTCCAGGTCCGGGTCGGGGCGTCCGAGGCAGCCCC